CACACACACACACACACACACACACACACACACACACACCTTTTTTAGAAAACCCTGTTTTCCTACTGAAAGACAAACTCCTTCAGTGGCCAAACAGGTTCTATCACAATTTCTCTGTATCTTGGTCAATCAACTCTGACGAGGTTAGATGAGGACATCAGATCTCAAACAGCTGGACAACAACTAACAAGGTGACGTCTGAAGATAACAGGCTGCACTTCTGCTTAAGGTTATCAGAGTCAATTTGAATACAGATGCAAGTCACGCTAATCAAATGTGAGCGAGTTCATGAGGCATAAATGTTTTTATCATGTCCTGGAAAAAAAAAACTTGAGGACGATTGTGGACCAGTCTCAAGCGTGGTGATTCAAAATTCAAAACACACAGAGCCGATGGTCTCTTTAAGCCAATATCCTCACACACATTCAAGCATTCCTGTGTGTCTGCACATCCAATAAAAAAAAAAAAAAGATTGTAGCCCCACACAAGGACACAGGAGGTCAACCTGTGTATTTGCGGAGGGCGATACAGGATATCAAAAGCTACAGTGGAAATCAGGAAAAAATGAGATACAGAGGAAATTAAACAATAAAAACTAACAGATATGACAGAGGAGGGATTGTTTATGGGAGGAAGGAATGTGTTTACCTCTCTCTGTGTCCAAGGAAGCATGAGAGGAAAGGAGGACAGTTAGTAGAGAAATGGAAAAAAAACACACACAACAATTGACTCCAGCAGTGGGAGAAATAAGCTGCAAACAGCCAGGCTAACACAGATATCTTATTACATTTCAGCCAGTCACTTCTCATCTTGTTTGCAGCTGAAAAGTTTTAGAAAAAAAAAAAGAGTTTACTCAGAAGATTGTTAAAAACAGATATGCAAAAAGACAGTGAAGTTACAAAGAAGATTGAAGTGGTTGAAAAGTGAAGAAAAAAAAAAGATAAAATCCTGGCTTTCGCTAATTGGCTGCTCAAGTTTAGAGTTTCAAAAATCTCAATTAAAATCACGTCATTTTTACTTTCACTTCAAAGTTACAGCCTGCATTATACTGGTCTAGCACATAAACTCTACAAAAAAACCACTAAAGTCAGGTTACTTGCAACATTAAAAAGTTAAAAGGGTGTGCATACATTTGTAAGCAAGTAAAAAAAAATGCAATTAAAGCAGATATTCTAAGAATGTTTAAAATTACGGTGAAGACAAGTGTAAAAAAAACTAACTACAGTCTGAATAAAAATAAGAAGTTATAGAAAGGAGAAGTAGAGAAACGGGGTGAGCGTCTCATTTCAAATGTAACATGATCATTAGGTTAACGCTCGGTTGCTGAGGGAGCCTACAATCCTGCGGCGATAAGTAAGTTTCACAGCATATCAGGAGCTAGTTGGTCACAGAGGTGATAAAACAGCTACAGGCCTTCACAGCAGTGAGAGAATCAGAGGGACAAATGAACAGAACCGTCCCTGCAGCAGAGGAACCGCTATCACAGAGGCACTGACAAATCAGTTGTCGTCGGGCTTAATCGGCCCGGACGGCTGGCCAACCAGTGAACACTTTAAAATTTTATGTTTTTCTTGACTGTGCATAAGGGCTCCAGCCCACCACACACCGCGCAGGACTCGGATATGTCACACAGCCTGTGCTCCACGTTACAAAATCTTACCATCAACTCCTGTCTCACCACATGATTGAGCTGTAGGGGAATTTTGTCAGAAAGGTTCGAGAGACATTTGAGCCCAACACTAAATAGACGGAAAGTTTCAGACGCCAATGTGCTGACTGGCAGAGGCAGACACTGCAAAGGAGGGAAAGGAGACGGCAGTGGAAGCGTTCACGGTTGGACAAAAGAGGACTGAAGCCGAAGTGTTCAGTCACACTGAATGATTTTTGTTTTTTTGTTTTTTTCTTTCAGAAACTTTATGTTCCCGCCAGATATTGTGAATATAAAGTACTCTTTGGTGATGGAAGCTCTAAATCAGTGCTCTGTCTATTACACTACAGCCACTGAATACATTTTGTGAAGAAAGATTTTGCTTCGGAGAGCCAATAATATCACAGCGTAAACCAGGCTTAAGTCCTAAAAACAACAATACTCCATGTGGACACTGTTACTGAGTTAAGAAGTCCCTAGGTGAGTTATTTTCTTTAGTGTCATTGAGATGTTTAAAATGAAGTCAGGAGAACCAAGGAGCTGTACAAAGACCTTGTAAATTAATCAATCAGGTTGCTGGACAAAGAGAGCAAGACATTTAGCTGCAAACAAGAAGGCTTAATGAAGTCCAGATAAAAGTGTTCCAGTAGTTTATTCTTTTGAGGTTTAAAGCTCATTCAGTTATGGAACATGTTGTTTTTGAAAATGTTAGTAGAAATTTGGAAATCTCAGTTATGGTAAGGACCTATACTCTTGAGTGTTAGTGATGCTAGCTGAGCTAAGTGCTAATCCGAGTCGCAAAAGAACATTTAAATCTTAAACTCCAATCATTTTGTCATTATTTTTCAAAACGGTAAAACCATGTTTTATAGCAACTCTCGTCACATACACAGCTTCTGATCAAGTAATTATTGAACACTGACTTTAACCTAGAAAAATTACATTGCAATGCTGTTTCTTATAGCTTTGTATATAAAAAAAAATGACATCAGAAATTAGCCAGTAAAACTTAAAAGTCTTAAGTTAATGTACAAACTACATGGGCAAACTTTTTATGAACCTTAGTACTGATTGCAATAAATATTTGATAAACTTTGATGTCACATTTTTTACTATTAATGAGAAAAAAATGAGGTGCATTTTTCCACCTTAAAAGGAGAAAAAAATTTCTCTTTTCATTTAAAAATCTACAGATTTACATTATACATTCCAGCATTTCAGTCGATCTATTCAGTCCCTCGCAACAAAGCACACGCGCCCACTTCGCTTGAGTTTCTTCAAAATCGCAATAAGCATGCATCAGATCAAAAGATGCAAACGCAAATCCGAAGCATCAGATTAGAAAACTCTCAAATTTGAGGTTTTTCCACTTTTTTTTTTTTTTCCGCAAACGCAACAGATCAGAAAATGATGGAATCAAATATACTCACAGAGGTCTGTTTTCTTCTCTCAGCGCGTAATCCTGAAAACTGGAGTGTCTCTACACACTCGCACCGATTCTCAGTGATGCTGCAGGCTCCTGCACTGCCTTTAACCTGTCCGATCCACACCCTGGTAGAACTAACTAAACCTCCTCCTCTCTGGCAGCTTTTTCTCTCTCTCTCTCCCGTCGGTTCCCTCACCATGCCGCCCCCTCCTCCTTTTGCTGCAGCTGAGCTGCTCTCACTGCTTTGACACTCCTGACTGTCGATGTGTAAAAGACTCGCGTTAATGTCGTTAGACGGAGTGATTTTAGGTCAGTTCAGTTGTTCTGGAGGATTTCAGATCGAATAACGAGGTGCAGTCATGTGTGAAGTGATTGTAAAGGAATTCCCACCCACTCCAGTCTACATCATCCTTTGAAAGCTGGTTTTTTTTTTTTTTTTTTTTTGGTTTTGCTTGAAGCAGTGAACAGCTCCCCCTTATGGTCACAGAGATGCAGCATCGCTGCGAAAGGTGATGGCAAATGGACGGAAGGTGTAGTAGTGCTTTTTCATATCCTTTCTGAATGAACGTTGGCGAAGAGCCTCCTTAAAATATTCCTTTCGTTAATTAATCTAGCTTTATCATCAATCATGAACTCCATCCTGTCCTCATGACCTTTTACTGAGACGGGAGAGTCGAGAGAATTATCAAAGAATTAAATGTTACATTTAAGAAAAAAGAAAAAAGCGAGCACAGAAAATAAATGCCAACAGACAAATGAAAGGTAACTTGCACCACTGCATCTTAAGCCCAAATTACTACTGGAGTAAAGAAGGACAAGAAAGTAGAACTGCAACTGACCTGCCATTGTCCCGACCAACACCCCAGACCCGGATACTGGCAATGGGCTGGGAATGAAGCACGCTGCGGTCCATTGGGTCGACCAGGTTCAACATGTTGTTCTCCAGCACCAAGTACATATCCTTCCCCTACGCACAAAAACACACACACAGATGAATAAATCACTCACATATCAGAGCAGACAGTCCTAACTTCCTGCTGCTGTATCAGAAACATTTATGTACCTGTCTAATAAATACAGTGTTCCTACACACTGCTGGCACAAGTTTCTAGATTTCCTTCCTGCATTTACATAACACATCCTGGGCATGTGATGTGGGTAGAAACCATTTTTACTCTAAACCCAAGACTAAAAACCAGAAGGTTCCCCGTAAGATCTCACACTTCCTGTCTCTGATAATCAAAGCCGCTCACAGATGAACAACAAGTCTCATCTTAAAGTCAGTGTTTGTTTTGCTACTTCAGATAACGTTGATAGTTTTTTTCCCATTATCATTATTGCTTAGTTGTTAATCTTCAACTATGAAAAGCGATGAGGTTGTCTTTAGATGTGCTGCACTACATGTGTTACTTTGGTAACTTTATTTCAAACCTTTTGCTGTTCTGCATTCGACCAGACTCGTTTTAAGGACCGTAAGTCAACCCCAATATGAAGCCTCATTCAAATCAAGGTTGAGATACGTCTGTAACTACGTCTTTCTGTAAAGCTCAGACTGAGCCTACAGAGGAGAGGACAGAGGAGACGTGGCAGAACCGTTGTAGACTAACAGAGCAGAATGGTTGCAGATATTCACAACTGGTCGAACTGCGGTCGTCAAAACAAAGTCAAAGCAGACCTTCAAAGTGCTGCTTGGATGCAATATTTGCAATACATTCAAAATTCTGCTTTTCAACACTGCATTTTGTCATTTGGATGAACCTCTGCTGTGTCTTGTCCTGTCACCTGATAGTAGATCTTAGAGAATAAGATACTAAAATGTACAAGCAGTCGTTTGGTACATTGTGCTCGTGTAAAAGAAAGAAGTGTGTCGAAAATCAGAGCTAATCACAATTGATACTGCAATATTCAGTGATATTGCAATCCAATTGATTCCCAATTGTGCAACCATAAACAGCTGGGTGCGTGACCCAACCAGCCAAGCCTTGTACCCACAACTAGGTGTATGCAACACTCCATAAATACAGGATGATCAGAGTGACTGTCGCTCAGTAAATCTCGTCTTGTGATCATTGAAATAAAGTCATGTGAACTTTTAAAAGAAGAAGTTTGACTTAATTTCCACCTCTACATCTGGGGGCTTTGCCTGTAAGAGAATATGTTGCTATATGATCTTAATGAGTGTGTGCGTGCATGTGTGTGAGTACATGTCCAGCTATCCTATAGCGGACCCTTTCTGGCATATTTACTAAACCAAGTGGGTCTTATCTGGACCATAGCCCAGTCCTAATCTGATGTACCCCATTGTGTAGGGTTAGTGGTTACGTTTAGCAGCATGATGTGGATTAGGTTTTGGTTAATCTTAGGTTTAGGAATAGATTAATATTGGCTAGGTTTGGGGGAAATGTCTGGATTAGGCATAAATGCAGTAACTAAAATGATTGCAAGGCAATACAAAGTTCCAATATGGGTAGAAATATGAACCTGTGTGTGTGCGTGTGTGTGTGCGTGTGTGTGTGCATTCCTAGGTCTCTAAATAAATTATTCACTCCTAAAATAGGGGATGGATATAAAGGGCTATCAAAAGGGAGAAGAAGCTCTCTACCGCCGTGTCCTGTCAGTTCACATTAAATAAATCCACAGCACAGCGAGCAGCAAAAACCCCTCTTACTCTCTTCTTTCTCCTCACACTCACAAACCCATTGCTGTCATCTTGTTTCCTTTTTACTTTATACTAATCTTTCTTTAATTTTTAATTATATATATATATATATTTTTTTACAGAGACTTCTTACCTCCAAACTATTTTATTTTAATCATTTAGAAAATATTTTATATACTCAAGACAACGTCAGATATGGTACGCAGCGTCCCTCACCTCGCCCCAGATGCCGACGGTGTCCCGTATGTCGTTCTTGCAGTAGGACAGCTGTCGGATGCAGTTGTTGACGGCTACGCTGCTCTTCCCGGGGGCCAGGTCCTCCTCGGCCATCTCCACCCAACCCAAAGAGCGCACCGCAAAACACTGCAAACAAAAGCAGAATATGAGCGAGTTACGCAATCGGCTTTCAGAGATGCATGATGATGAAACGCATACGACATGTTTGTTTTACCAACGGTCGTGGGTTTTAAAGCTTTCTATACCGCTGTTTACTCCAAAGTAAACATAGAGCGCGCGGAGAAAATCATGGACGTGACTCAGAATGAGCGGGTGAGAGTCGAGTTACAGAGATTAAAGACAGTTTTAGAATAATCAAAGTAAATGTGGAGTTCATTACCTTGACTTTGATAGAAGCAGCTACAAAATACTGGAGTGAGCTTTAATTTCTGATTGCTACCACATTACACTAATTTAGCTTAATACCACCAGGCTAAACAACCGTTTCAATCTACAATAAATCTATGCAGTAATCCAGCCAAATATTGAGTTCACATTAGCCTCGCTGAATTGGACTGCAGACGAGTCAGCATACTAATAATCCAGTTACATAATAAATCAACCGGACGATGGAACTGTTTTTCAATTAACCTTAAAGCCTAAAGGCTTCATCATCTGGATTCTGGATTTGAACGTTTTTAAGACCACAGCAGGAAACCCACAGATGTTCAACAAGAAATCATCCACTAGGGGGCAGTATTGCCCAGCTAGACAACTGCAGAAGACAGAAAGACATTAAATACCTTCTGTATTCAAATAGGCTGCAGACATTATTTAAATGATTTTCTTATCACAGCTTTATTCTCTTAAAAATGACATTCGGTGTAACTTTTTTTTTATTTTACCCATTTTTAACTGCTTCAGGTATTTTTCATGTCCAAGAAGAAATAAAAAAACTACTTTATAACTATTTGGAATCCTGAATATATATATATATATATATATATATATATATATATATATATATATATATATATATATATATATATATATAAAACAGAGAATACTTTCATGGCAAGATGTCATAATATATTGAGAATGACCTCTATGTGGTTGTGTAGTTACAATGAAAACAAAACAAGAATGCAAAGCTACCAAACAATTTAGATTCTTCATAACATGGATGCAAATATCGATGATAAACACACATGAAGTCACAGGAATTCCTAACCTTAGCTTCTGGGTCACTGTTTACACTGCTGGACTCATTTTCCTCTGTGGTTGGACGATTCCTGAGAAGAAGGAAAAGATGCCAGCTAAAATAAAAACCTACATAAGATGAAGGACAGAAGAGCGCACATCAACAAAGGCTCAGTCTAATATTTAAATTTATGGGGTTTATTTTTAACACCTGATGCCAAGGAAGTCTTTGGACCACCTGAATGATGGTTGGCAAAATACTTACAGTAATAAAACAATATAGTGTATATATAGTCATAAAAAAAAGTGGATAGCAGTGATATGATTCTAAATGCTTTTAACAGTCATTGAAATAAAATTTGCTACAAGTTTACAATCATTTCACCTGAGCTTGAGAGAAGCGTAGCGAAGCGTGGCGCCCTCAAACTCCTTCAGACTGGGGTCAGGGTTCACGGTGGCCGCCTGCAGGTCCTGATGCACAGAAGTAAAAAAAAAAAAAAAACGTCAAATTGATTAAAACAGTCCAAACAAACATCACTAACCTACTTTACACCTTAAAAGCTAAGCTTTTAATAATGAATGGCAAAGTCATGACACCTGTTGATGAAATGCTTCGTCTTTATATACAGCCGAGGTTTAAAAAAAAAAAAAAAAAATGTTATTAAGACTGTTATTAAAAGTCATTTCAGTAAACTTTCTGGAAAACTGCCAAAATGTTCACTACTGTTTGACAGTCGTCAGTATTTTATGTGGATTTAAGCTGCTACACCGATGACTGACCTGATCGTTTTACCACAATCTGTTACTTAAAGCCCTAGACTTTAGAGAGGGTGTACTTTCTTTCCTCATTACAACAAGAGTTCATTAAATGGATGATTTAAATCCCTGTGGGTGTTGGACCGAAGAGATACAAACGTTATAAAAACCAAAATGCAAACATCTTCAAGTCGCTCGGCATGTAACAGCATGCATCCATGGGCCTTTGGTAAATGAGAGAAGTGGTTGCACAGTACAGCATGACATGCTACAATGAGAAACGTTAATCATTGGCTACACACAAGTTCACATTTTCTATGTGCAAACACATTTATAGCTGCGCAATTAGGATGAAAAGATGAGCATTTTTTAATCACGAGTAAAAAAACCCAAAACAAAAAAAAACAAACAAAAACAGCTAAAAGTGTTACTGCAGCCAGATAACATATCCTGGAATGAGGTGACGTTTATGATGAAGCATCAGCCACGCATGCTGCTGCCCAAGCAGTGAAATTCAAACGTGGGAGGGGCAGGACAGATGAGGAGCAGAAGTCACCAGCGTTGGGTGCGTAATACTTGCCTTCCACACTTCACTATCAATTTTGCCTCCAAATTCACTCCACACCTGCTTCTACACAAAGCATTAAGACACAAACACAGATAGCGTTGGGTTGACACATGGAAGTCAGGAGGAGGAGGACGAGGAGGAGGAGGAGGAAGAATCAGAGGAATAAATTCAGTCGAAAGTCATGTGAAATAGTAATTGACAGTAAATACAACCGGGCATTAGGGGGAAGTCTTTTTTTTCCCCACAGAGGTCCGGCTTCATTTGGCAAACTTTTTTCCCTTATAAATGAAACCATCTTTTGAAAATGACTTTTTGAAATTAATCTGGTTTATCTGCCTGATATTCAAATTTGATTGACGATCTAAAAGATTTAAAGGGTGACACACAAAACAAAAAGAAATGAGCTTTGTAGTCATTTTCCTCTGCACTGAACATTCACATCTAAAGAAGGCATAAATATATAGCTGCTTAATGTTTACATTTACTTAAAGTGAAGGCGCTAACCACTGGTAGTACATGGATCACCCACCAGTGGGCATAAGACAAGTATAGAACTAGATACAGTAGATCTGCTGGTGAAGAGGTAGAGGTCTCTGAAATATGCTAAAAAAAAATGTTGTTTTTTAGCATATTTCAGGAGCGCAATAATGGTGTCAGTATTCTCTAATTATTGTGCTCCTTTGTAGCATTTTACCTCAACCCTAATAATAAACTGTTGTTTAATATAATACACACCGTTACAGAATATGCCTGTGACCGTTTAGGAAGGTAATAAAACATTTTTAACCTTCAAGAAACATTTAGATCAGTGAAAGTGTCTTTTTGTTATTTTGAAGGCAATCACTTCAGAATGCATACAGAACCACTTTGTGTCAAAATAAGAATATGGAGTACTTCAAATAAAGTCTCTTACGAGTTTTTATGCTGTGTCTGAAGCAAAAATAATGCAAAATCAGACAGGAATCAATTGCCTCGTTTTTGCCACAAACAAACTGTTAATTACCGAGGGTACAGGACGAGCTACAGATTTATTCTCCTACCTTGTCTTCATCTTCATGACATTGAGAATGATTTTCTTGATCGGGCGTCTCCTGTAAGGACGTGGAACGAGGCTAAAAAGGGAAAGAAAAAGAGAAATTCAATAAAATCTGGAACATAGTGAACAGGATTCTATGTCAGTTTTCATTGACATAGTGACTCCAGCCGGCGCGGCGGTCGCTCTGAACAGACTGACGTGCCAGAATCTCATTTGAGCACATCCATCCGTCAACATCGCTCCATTCTCCCTGGATCGATGTTTTATCTAGACGTTGCTGCTCTCTTATCAGCCTCCTTTCCTCTCTTCGCTTTACTCCATCATTCACCATGATCAACCAACTGATTGTCGCAGCGCGGCCGCGTTCGACGCGTGAAGCTTCAGGGCCACAGTTTCAATAAAGAATGGGAAACCGTAATAAATGTACGCAGTGTTCTTTACAGGTATCCAAACTGCTTCTAATTTCTAACATTTTGTTGAATTGCAACCACAAACGTCCACGTTGCAGACAAAACGTGATACATGTGTTTTCAGATTTTTCTGACAGCTACAAATCTAGAAAGTCTACTCTGATGCCACTAAATAAAGTCTTTCAGTGATTAATTCTGCAGACTTGATTTTCTATTCTATGTCATCAACCTTCTAACAACTGCGGTCAATTTAAATAAATAAACTATTAAAAGAAAGCCGGAAGAAGTCATATTTTCAGTTTTCCACAAGAAATGTGAAGGACACAGGACACGGGGTTGGATGAGACTGGGCTATAACTCTGAACCGAACTTTGACTAAACCATCCCCACCTTAATGGTTAATTAGTGCTGGGAGCCACAAAACCTGTGGCAAGATATGATAATCAATGTTCTCCATCTAATACGACCGATTTCGAGTTGTTTTATAAATATATGCATTTACAAAACTCATAAAAATGACAGTGAGAATATTCTCAATGACAAGGAGACTTTGATTGTTTGTCCAAGTACAAATTAACAGATGGTCTAATACTTACAAAGTAGCAGCTGTTGACAAATCCACATGTAGGGAGAGTGGACTCATGACTGGACAGCGGCTCCACTGAGCTGTCGGAGGTTGTGCTTCCCGAACGAGTCGACGCCCTGAAGAAGATCTCCGTCTGGCATGACATTGTGTTTTAAAAGAAAATTATTTATCATATTAAGAAGAACAGCAAGTATAACATACATGTCGTCTATCAGGACTTTTTTCTTGGGTCCCAATCTCAGAAAACGTCAAAAACTCATCTAATCATCTCAGTATAAAATGCCACATGTGAAAATATTTTTTCCTTACAAAGTAGATTTGGATTTAGAAATCATAAACCAATTTCAAAACCGTATCAACGATTCAGCAGACTCATAAAACAACAAAAACAACCAAGTTCAGCTCATGTCCTCTCACCTCGTGGTCGGGAGTGGCCAGGGGGCTCGGGGAGCCCTGGGAGTGTTTACGCGGCACGGGGGCCGTGGGGTCAGCCAGGGCCGGGGCCTCGTTCTGCCCGGGTGGAGGTGGACGGGCGGAGGGCCGCTCCCACTGGGTGGTGCCTGTAGGAATGTGCCAGTAGTAGATACCGGCCATGTCTGTGATCTTCTTCCATCCTGGGGGCAAGTCGGGATCGGTCTGGAACGACTGCTCACTCCAGATATCTGCAGAGAGATTAAAAGCATTGAAGTAAGATGTGCAGGTCCTTCACATGCTTTTCAGACAGTATTCACAAGCCCTTACGTCCCTTTCAAAACTAAATTCTGAAATCAATTTCCACAACGTGTAGAAAACCAGAAAACAATTTGCTGCTTAACTGAAATAATCTACGTCAAACACCAAAAAAAAAAAAAAAAAAGACAAATTCACAAATAACCACACTGGTACGACTGACTGCACAGAAAGTTGCTCTTCTGAATGATCCAGTGGCTGAAGGAACAGCTGTCCAGGATTACAAAACCACTCTGCAGCCGTCTTTTAAATAAGCCATGTCTCCATGTTCTCAAGCAACACAGACAAATCTTGTTGATACAATTATGCAACATACACACACACACACACACACACACACACACACACACAATGGTCCAGACCTATTTAGAGAAGTGATCATACAGGCAGAAACAGAACAGAACACAAAAAGTACAACCGGACAAACACTGGGCTCAGTTTTAAAACAATAAGGAGATACATTTGAAACGCACTAGTAAAAGAATAGCATACATATAAAGACATATCATTACTTAATGAGTCTTCTTCTTCTTGGAAGTTTAGATTCATTCATTGGTTTTATTCTTTGTTTTCTTTTCTTTTTTTTTAAATAAACGATCTCAAGTCAAACGCTACGCCTAAAGTACCCATCATCAAATGTGGGAACAGGCAGACTCTGAGCAGCAACATCCCAAAAAACATGGATGTTTCTACTGTCTGACTAATTCAAGTTGTATTAGATTATTAAATCATGGACACCCTTAAGGAGGAGCTCTATTTTAGAAAAGAGATCAGAAGTAAAATACACTTTTGAGGGAAACAACTAAACAAGCTGGCAACATGAGCTCTGTAAGTATTCAGCTCCAGTTTCCACTTTGTCACATTAAAACCTTGAACCTCACTGTGTTTTGGAGCAATTGTATGTTAGCCCAAAGCACAGGAATAACCAACTGTGATGCAGAAGGTAAATAATAAATTTCTTTCCAAATGTTTTGCAGTTGAAAATCAGCAAAAGTGTGGTATGATTTTTGTACTTATTGCCCCTCTGAAACTCTAAAACCCTGAAATCAAGCTTAAAGCCTCGTTGTCTTTCAACGCTACCCACATCTATCCTCTGTATGACTCAGGCAGGAACATGATGTTTAAAATGATCTTTCCTCCATTGTGCGCTCGGTTGAAGCTTGGAGGAAACACTGAATGTAAATCGTCGCACGCAGAAGCCCAATGAGGCCGAGAAGTGTTTGTTTTAAAACGGCACCGACTGTCTAAAAACATGTGAGTTCGCTCATCCGCTGTGAGCGACAAAGACAAAACGTCCTCTAGAGGCGCGTTTCCACTTTGGGTTCCTGGAGGGTTTCACTGCAGAACTTAACTTCCCAAAACCGTTTTGCCGCCCTTTGCTGATTGTTCCTTTTATTCTGTAATGCAATTACAACATTAAGCTTGCAGGAAAGAAGAAAAGATAGGACAACTTCCACCGATATTCACAATCGCATATGAAATTACAATTTATGACTATTTTTGTTTTGATTAAGCTCTGAATCAGAAGAAAACGGCTTTAATTCGTAGGAATTTTGTCTTAAGTAAGCAAACCCTGTGAGACGAAGCCCGTCTAAACATTAACCACTGACAAACATGCAGCAGCCGTTGCGCCATTCAAACTTAAAATTGATGTGTAATCAACAAACCTTACCAGTTATTGCTTTAATCTGGATCTCAGAGCATAAACACTGCAAAGTGTTCTAATTTCACTGCTTAAAATCTCATAAAGGCTTTGACGAGAGCGCAACCCTTTCTATGTTCATAGATCTCTACTGAGATTGGTGAATTCGATCGGCATAGTTAAATACAAACTCTGTAAGACACAACAATGTTCAGCATCTGTGGCTGGGTTTAGAGGTTGTGTTTGCAAATAAAAATACGGATTTAAACTGTTTGCGGTATTTCTTGAAGCTGAAGCCCTTCTCAGCTGGCAGAAGGCAACATCTGCTCACAGAGCAGTTGACCGTAGCCGTAATTTACGGGGCAGTAAGACGTTTAGAGGAAGAGCAAGCCGCGCAGTTACCGAAAACACACTCGCGCACACACTTCGCCAGAGAAGCACGCACATTCACGGAACCACTGACGGCATGTTTGTGTGCAGAAAGTGGAGTTTGCAGATAAAGTAGTAAAAAGAAAAGGACGCCAGGCTGCAACGCAGGTTCTAGCAACTCATAAAGGTGATATAAGCTCTGAAGGACTGGCCAGCTGGAACAAGTGTGTGTGTGCGTGTGTGTGACTGTTGTGATTGCAAAGTAATCTTAAAGTGCTGATGATGCTGATGAAACATGTTGCCATGACAGCAGGCCATATGTTATCATTATGACTTGGTCTATCCTGATTGAGATGAGACTGTAAAACATGTGCTTACAGACACACACACACACACACACACACACACACACACACACACACACACACACACACACTACAAACAGGGTTAAAAAGACATCCAATTATAATATTCACTTAAAAGAAAATGCAAATATTTAATGTCCTCAAAAAAGTTTTTATATGCCACATTTTATCATGTTAATGATAAACTTTACCTTTTTTATTCCCCATAAATTCACAGACACAATGGAGAAGTGAAGTGGAAGATAAATGACGCATACAGTGTGGTGGATTTTGCGTTTAGTCCATAATATAAATTCACAAGACGCTCAAAATTTCTCATTTTCATTTTTTGGTATTTTTTTCTCAAAAGATTTCTACTTAATTCGCCTAATATTAGGACTTTATTCTGGTAATATTAAAACTTTATTCTTGTGTGACTGTATTCTTGCAATATTACGACTGTATTTTCATAATTAATAAAAATAAAATATCTTAGCCTGGCCCCAATATTCCATCAACAGAGTTGACTTGAATACAAAGTCCAAATAAATAGAAGCTGTAAAACAAATGGTAGGCACTGGGCCCATTGATGGAAAATAAATCCAGCTTTTCAAAAAAAAAAAAAAATCACATTTTCAAATCTGATTAATCAATAACATCGATTTATCGCCATGCCCTATAAAAAAAAAACGTCCACCGGCTACGAATAGTTTTGCAGGAAACGGCATGCTGACGACATGAGGTGCTGCCCTAGACTCCAGCGTCTTCCAGAGCAAGGAACTGCGGAGCAGTTTCTGCTGGGAGATGGAGTTCTATAAGCCGAGGGGAAGAAAATAGGTCAAAGCGAATGAGGCTTCAACGGAGAGAGGCTGACTGTCTGGGGTGATCAGGAGGAAGGACTGTGACAGAACTCAGGCCAGCGTGAGACGAGTGGAAACAGATTACACCATGACGACACAGAAAAGAGGAAACACTGTTGGAGAAAATGTGAGGAGAGCTGAGGCTGTTTTGAATCTTTGGAGGCTTCATCGCGGATCAACACCATCGGCGGCGGTCTCTGCAAACGCTGTGGGAGCCGAGGGACGACTTAGCATGCATGCGATGATGCACGCTGCTGTTGAAGTGCACTTAGGATGTTGATTAAAAAAAAAAAAAAAAAAGCCACACATGAGCAACAGAGGCACTAGCCTGTGACAGCCCCCAGTTATTACGCAGTTCTGTGCAAGAATACAGTAAAGCAGAGCAGAGGGGGAAGGGAGCAAAACACCTGAACACACACACACACACATACACACACACACACGTTCCCCTCTGGCAAACACTGCCATGCATCCTCCCCCTCTGTCAGTCTCTTATCACTGGAACGATGCGGCATGCACAGAGCAGACAACAACATGAACTTCGTGTTGGAGGAAACACGGATGTCTACGAATCTGCACATGCACACTTACAGAGACACACTCAGACAGCGCTCAAACTCTAAGCCCACAGTGAAGCCTCCAGCAGATCCCGACAAATCCACCTACCCTCGTAATTGACAATCACAATGGCCAGCATATAGTCTTTCCCCAGCATCATAGTTAGCTAGCTGCCTCTCACAGCCAAGAACCTGCTGCTGTAATCAAAGCAAAAAACCCAGACAGACAGAAAAAGAGAGACAGAGAGAGAGAGAGAGAGAGAGAGAAGGACAGAGAGAGAGGGGGACACAGCAGAGAGAGGGTTGAGGGGAATGAAGGAGAAAAGAGCCGTCGGTGGTCGTATTCAGATACGAAGCAGATTTTCTGAGAAAACAAAATCTAAAAAAACAGGCTAAAGCAGCGCTGAGATAAGTGCAAGCAAGACAGAGAGAGAAAGAGGCTGAGACAGAGGAGAAGGGAGCGAGGTCGCGCATCTCCTGCAGTTGAACTAGGTTTGCTGCTGTTATTGTTGTCTTCTAAGTGGAGCATCAAACAAAACCCGTCTCCTTTTTCTGTACCCAAACGAGCACATCTGAGCACACAGTGATAACTTAACAATGGAGTACAAGCAAGCCTCTAATGAGAATGTTGATCACCTTTTTTTTCTTCTCCACCTTCCCTTTTGGTGTGCATCAGATGTAGAAGGAATCCAATGAAGAGGTGGAGGAGCACAGATCAACAGGATGCCAAAGAAAAGCTGATGTTTTTCAAAAGACATTTCGAGACCGACTGTAAAACACACGACAGAAGGCTGCTCTCCTGTGGGTGCTTCATTTTTGCCTCCGTTTCAAGCAGCGATGTCCTGATTTGAACCCTGGTGGCTCTGGGTCCAGCTCGGAAGCCCCTCACAAAAGTTCATTTTGTTAGCTGTACTTCCAAACAGACATGTGGTGCAGTTTTTCAGAGCACATGTTTTTTGACAACACTTGTTTTTTGGGGGGGGTTTTATGAAAACATAGGGCCGGACGATGTAGCTGAAAACCACATCATGATATCAGGGTTTCATATCAGCCAGTGTCAATAATTATTGATAAGTTAAATATCTGAATTTCTACCAAACTGACGGGATCGTTTCATCCACACCATTATTTATCATGTTTAAGCTGTTATGAGGCTTACGGAGGCAGAACCTTAAGCTGTTGCAGAGCAAGTTACTCTGCAGGTTGTTGCTAGGTAACCAAATGAGTTAGCGAGTCAGTTGATGTCACCAATCGGGCTCGGTTGGCGCCGTCAACATCTCAGTGTTTTTAAGCAAGTACATGCCAGCGATTTTCCAAAATATTAAAATTAATGAATTATTTTGCCGGGACTCTGTACTGGCTGAGGGCATCAGGGGCTGGAAAACAACTCAGACCAGAACATCTCTTAATTTGTCATACAGTATGTGACAGCTGAAGGATATTCTTAGTCATGCAGGTTGTGGTCGTCATGGAGGTTTGATTAGAGGTCAGCTCGACTTTCTCTTGTTTCTAGGAGATGTCATATCTTCAAATGTAAACAACCCTCCAGCTTCAGTCCATCGTCTTGAAACTCAGCATCGATTATTAAAACTGAAGGTTTTCAAATAAGAGCTGCGGCGTCTTTAAGAAACGAGGAAGACCCGTTGCTTTCTGTTCAAGGAGCGAAAAAGCTGGCGAATGTATGAGAAATGAGAAGGAAATTTCTTAAATAGGACACAAGTGGCTCTCTTTAGTTCTGCATGCCTCTGTTTTTTCATCAAAGTCTTCGACTGTGTCTGTAATGTACAAAGCAAGAGGTCTACTAAACCTAAAGTCAGTATTTAGACGATGAAGTACAATGAAAGCACAAAGAACAGGATCTGCAAGCTTTTTAGTTTGTGTTGGTCTTCTAACAAAAAGTATCTGTCTGTTTTTTTTTTTTTTCAGTGATGCAAACTCCAGTGCATGAGCATAAGTACCATAATGTCAGAATGTTCAATGACAATGCATTTCACATTTAATGCAGAGTTGGGTAGAACTGTTTAAATGACCAAGAAAAACAGTTCTAAGAACTTTGCATTACTGTTTAATAATATTAAAATATCCAAAGCTAAAATACTGCTAAGGTATATTATTAGTCTTAATTTAGTATTATTTATCAGCAAGGTGTTTAGGAGAAATCTGAATCTACTTAGTGCAAACAACTGGGCTTGTTAAGTCAGAGTGGTAAAATCTGATTAATCTTAGTAAGAAGATATATGAGAGAAGCAAACTGTTTTAAATCCTATAATTATTATTATTCACGTGTCTAATAGTGGGCTGCACAGTAGGTAGCACTGTTGAAAGCAATTTTGATTTAGTTATGTTAATGCTGTCAAGATTTGTTTTTTGGCACCAAAATATAAGTAAATACATCTTTCAACATCTATTTTTCTCCTTTTAATTAGTCAGGACAGAAAGCAATACAACTACCACGATCGCAACCCAATACTTTAAAATAAATATAAACAAGAACACTGAGATGAAGCCTCAGAGATCAGACAAGTGAACTGTGTTGCTCAATAGACGGTATGGAAATTCAGAAAGATCTGCTGCTGGCAATCAAACTTGCAAAGAAATGAAACACAGACGCTCCGAGTCTTCAACTTGACAGAACAGTGAGTCATCGGGGAAGCAACAGGGGAGGGGGAAAAAAAAGCTCTACATCCGCAGGACACAAATTGGTTTTCGGCAGTGAACAGTGTCAGAAATCATGGCTGAAGAAGATGGAAGTATTTCATTTGTCTGATGGGGCCCAAATGAAAACTTTAGCATCTTATTTTAACACAATGCTGACAGGATACAATGGGAATATCAAAAGATGCTGCTCGGGACTTTAGCAGTAAGTGCTTTGAAAGAGGACAGGACGACAAAAGAGCTCGTTCTACATAAAATCCAGGCAAAGAGAGAAACTGCCAGACACAGTTTTACCACAGATGAATTTGAAAAGACGTCTTAAATTAGAAAAGACCCATTTTCAAATTACAACGATGGAGCCTTACATGTTTATTCAAACAAAGTCTTATTTCCTAAGAGCTTGGGCGATAAATAAAAAAGCAAAGTGAAATCCTATTATAAAGCAAAACACAAGTCGTTTGATTTCTCATTCTCAAAAAAATGCAAAAAAATAAAAAAATCTGGAGGGCACAAAATATAAAAGGGTAAAGGTCACAACAGTCTGAATTTACAGCAACATGCAAATGAATTGGCTCTTAGAGGTGCTTGGATTGTGGGCCAAAGTAAAAAAACTTTACAGACTCAGCCATCGTTAATGAGTGTCAAAGTGCTGTAGTTGAAAGCCTAATGGAGGGAAAGCAAGAACAGGACTTGAACAGAAAACAAAGTGAGTTTAAATATTGACCCGAGATCAGCTATAACATCTGGATGGTGCCATTTATGAGGAAATGTATATGCAGATGACCAAGCTGCTGTCTGACAATGTACAGCTGCTAGTACATTAAGTATGAGTTGCCTGCACTCATAAAAGTATCTCTCTGCCAAAGCCAAACAGGTTCTGGTAGAGGCAGTGCGATAGTGTGGGGCAACATCTCCCTCAATGGGGAAAAAAAAAAAAGGCTTAGAAAGCAAACTCACTTATCCTAATATTTTATGGTGCTATTGTGATGACCATGGAAATGGCAATAAGAACTACTTATTTATTACTTTTCTTTTAGGTAACTGTAAAAGTGTGACTGTATGGCACGGCAATCATAGCCCATTTAGGACACCGGTCACATAAAAATGTGTGATTTGTATCACTAAAATGATTGCTTTCAATCATATTTTCAAATTTCTTCAAATGTACTGATACACCCTTATTGGACAAACAGTGGAGCAAAACAGTAAAACTAACAACCTGCCAATACAGAGTGTTTTAGGGGCTTTTAAACATCATTAACTGGAATTTATTGTGACAATGATAAATAAAAAATCATATCGTGATAGGAAATTTATCACGATAAGTGATAAGCGATACGATAAATGCCCACCCAAACATGAAGCACAAGTCAGTAGCAGAAGAATCTGCTTGGCTGTGGTTGAAAGGATTTGGCAGATTTTTCATTGGAATAACTCAAACACTCAGCTCTGCCACTAAACCCAGAAATGCATTTTCTAACTACTGTGGTGTCATTTAAAGGGGACGCACACAGGCTTTCCGACAAGATAACATTTAATGCCCAGAAGCTGTAAAGAAATAACTGACCAATGAAAAACATCCGTTTTTCAAAGTAAGTGTGTGTTTAATATAGGAGGGTCTTTTTAAAAAAAAAAAAGGAAAAAAAAAACAGACCTCCATACCATTTAGTAGAAAAATAAAGTCAGGCAGAGATTTTGTGTTAATTCATCGCATATGGGCAGAGCTGACCGACTAACCACCCATGAGGTTACAAGGCCAGTACCAGGAGAGCTCAGAGCTGCAGCGTTTGTTATTCTGTAAATGCATAACTGTTTCCATGCGCCGACACAAACAGAGTTACCATAAATGGAAACATGTCATCAGTGAGAGGATGGCTGCAACCACTACAGAGCACACACACACACACACACACACACACACACATGCATCCACGCGCACACACACACACACACACACATGCATCCACGCGCACACACACAAAAAGTCCAGTGTGTGGCACTCAGCCTCACAAACAATCTGCCAGCAAATAACAGAAGCTATAAAGTTTAATACAATAAAGTCTTTACAGCAGGAGTCTGATTTTGTGCGAGTACCTGTCTCCTCGGGGGAGTTGCTGTCCTGGGACAGGGTAGTCCAGCTCAGCTCTTCATCACTGGGGTTCAGATTCTGGATGCGGTTCAACGCGCAGTCCGTCTTTGCTCCAGTCCTCCGGTCCTTCTTTGTCTCTGGAGAGGAGGAGGTAGAGGAGGGGCAGGAGGCAGCAGAGAGCAGGCGGGTGTCTTCTGGACTGCCTTGCCTTGGCGGGGAGAGCGGGGGACGAACCCCGGAGTTCTTTTCTGATTGGAGGAGCGCGAGGTTGGACTGGAGTTCGGAGATGATCTCAGAACCTGAAGAGACTTTACCCTCCTTCACGGGAGAATCGGGGTTCAGCAACAGCAAAGGCTTCTTCTCCTCCTCCTCCTCCTCCTCCAACTCTTCCACCACCTCATCTTCCTCCATCTTCATCTTCGATGGGATTTCCTTTTCGGACAGAATGCTTATGTCATCGGGCTCCTCCGCCTCAACGCTCAAGTCAAAGTCTAAATCTGCCGTATTGCCGTTCAGCTTGGTCTGGCCCGTCCAGTTAATGTTACAATCTGCATCAGATCCCGTTTTCTGCTCCGACTCGGCGTCGCTGGCAGATTCCGGCCGCTGCTCAGCGTCCAGCTCAAACGCATCCTCCTCTCGGTCGTTGTTCGTCAGAGAGTGACTGTCTTGCTCTTCAACCGTGTTAACATTGGAATCGTCGGCTATCGGTTCCGGATTGCACTCGGGGTCTGTCGGGTCGGGGTCGGTTGTGTTTTTATTGTGGTCCTGACCGGCTTTACGCAGCTGGTTGGCCCCGTTCTTGGCCAGCTTGGGGTTGTTGGGGGCTGCAGGCTGCGACGGGGACGAAGACGGCGATGCTGAAGGTGGCGCGTTTTCTCCGAGGCCCATGGCGGCCTGGATGCTCGTGAGCGCGTACTTTTTGCGACACTTGGGTGGCGTGGCCGAGCCTTGCTTGATGACGTCGCCGCTGAGCAGCTGATTGTGTGAAGAGCGGAGGCTGAGAGAGGTGGGAGGCGTGGCAGCAGGGCCGTTGCGATTGGTCACATCCACTGACATCATTGTGGCACGAGACAGAGGACCTGCAATAGAAAACGAATTGGAGACGAATACATTTGACAGTGAGTTTAGTTAAAACATTGTGAACTAAAATGCTTAAATTAACACAGAAACAAAAAGCTTATTTGTAGGATATTTGAAGATTCACATGATGACAGCATTATTCAGAAATCCGCTTTCCATTGCCATAGTTTACCTAGAAAAAATATATATATTTTAAGTCCTTTAATCCTCACCAACAGTTATTCAATACCTTTTAATTTAAAATTAAGCACTTTTGTTCAAGCTTCCTTAATGAAGATCTAGCCTAAAGCATCAGGGGTCTGAATAATTTATTTATATTAAATACAGGAAATATATCATTTATAGGTACTAACTGGATTAAAAGATCAGCTTCACATGAATGTTTTTCTGCCATTTTTCAATTTTTACAACTACTTCACAGCTAATTTTACAACGTTTCAAAGATGCTTTAAATAACAATGTGAAAGGTAAAGAATGATAGGCCATCTCTGGCAATTCTGTGTTCAGTAATATCTTTTTTCGAAAATGTGCAGATTGTTCAAACATACAAAAGGCGATGCTGATCATATTTCAGCATATTATACTTGCGCATAAATGTTGAAAACATGGTTTGTTTTGAGTGATAATGAACACCAAGAAAAATAAGACAAATCAAAGGATGTTTTTTTTAAATATATATTTGGCTCTTATTTTTTTAATTTCATGCATGAGAGTTTGTACCGAGCAGGTTAAAGTAAAAACTGGATATTGAGACTCGATGTGAATTTCCTACCTGTTGGGTATGAAGTCACTGACAGGCACCGCTCGCCGCTTGGAGCTCTGAAGACTCAGCTGCAGATCTGAGCACCACAGAGAGAAAAAGAGACAGCAAAAGGGATGATCAGTGAAGAATGAAAGGAATCCTGAGTACTTCTTGGATGGTCCTCAGAGACCCCATTCATCCACGTGGAACCCGACTGCCGCGGGTTTCTGTGGAAACCTACAGCTCTGTCAGGCTGCGAGGATTCTTGAGACATCGCAGAAACCAAAAAGGAAAAACAAAACAAAAAAAAACAAAAATGAATCTACCTCACCTCACGGTGTCTGAATCTTACAGATTATGAACAACACCAACAGCTTGTAAAGAATTAATTCAGGACCAGACTTTTACTTGGACTCTTATCAAGAATGCATGCCTTACAGGACATGTTAAAAGCAGAAACAAAACTTAATACTTTACCAGAAAACTATGACTTTTGAGAAACACCAGGGTGATGCAGGTCCATGTTGGTCGTCCGCAGGGCCTTCTTCGTCCACTGAAGCAGCAGTGCACTGAGGGAACAAAACATAAAACAGGATTAATAACAGAGCGCGAGGCAGGGTGAGCAGAGAGAGAAGAGGGGGTACACATAAGGAGGACAAATAAAAAGGTATTAATTATTCACAAGCACAGTCAAACATTAATACTCAGGATGGCTGTGTGTTTGCATATATACACCTTATGAATTTTGTGCAGGGCTCATATTTCATGAAGTCTTGCCAACAATGTGCTGCCTGGAAATATCATAAACTTAATGCCACATGAGACCAGTAAGCTCCTCTTCTTCTGCTTTTCTGCTTTCAAACACCATAATAAATACACGAACTTGTGCTACAGAAGCACTTATTAGGAGTCCAGACCAAAAACTCAGAGAGGGGCAGAGAAACATGCCTGTGGACAGAGAGAAATAGAAAGTCTGTAATCAATAAAAACATCCCACCGTTTTGGCAAACAGGACCTCATATGTGAATTTCAGCATCTTCAAAAGATGCACAACTAGGTTACACAGCAAACTGGCATCACAACAAAGTAATGTAGGGAATGATTAATGAGTTTTACAAACCTAGTTTCGTGGTAAATACGGTAAATAACCTGCAGTTGCCCCTTATCTAGTCCAGAGCTTAATTCTTCATTCATTATGTGTATATAAACATTTACAAAAATAAATATTAAAATTAATATTTTTATTCAACCAAGAAATTAAGTTTCTGAAAGGAAATGAAAGAAATAATAGATAATAGAATCAATTTTGACAAAATAATGTTTTTTTTGGGGGGGGCGGGGGGGGGACAGGGGGTTTGCATATTTTACTCTGAACATAAATATGCCAGTAGTGTGAATAATTTTGTGCTTTACTGCAGCACAAGATGTCGTCGGTGCCATTATAACAACAAATCTGAGCCACTGGACTTTCCCTGGTGTGTAAATAAAACCGTATTAGTTCTGCAATAAATACTGCTTTTCTCGTTGTTCTAAACGGCTGCAGGATTTGAACAGATATGCCAGAGTTTCCCTCTCACAGCCGGATTAGACAGTTAGACAGCAGGAGCCGGGCATCTTCTGGAAACAGCACATCAAGGACGATGGGAGAAGATTCAAGAGAGTAACTGCATATTTGGACAACCAAGTATACCCGTTATTTTTTAAACAGACTAAAGTGTGAGGCAACACATATTAAATTATTTCACACTTAAAGCTGTTCACCAGCAGATTTATTAAACAAAGACAGACCACGGGATTGCACAACTGCTACTTGACACCCATACTTATGTGGTACTTAGGCTGTGCTGTCCTCTGACTGCACAACAAACAAGCATCTGGTTTGATTGGCCAACCACCAACTCCACTGAGAGGGTGCGACATGTAAAGGGGCAGCTGTGTAATTTGGACCACCTGTACAAACTTTAATGCTTTTTTTTTTTTTTTCTTCCCCCAAATAGTTTGAGTTGGGACAGGTGAGATCACGCTGGATCATTTGTTAGATGAGGAGCAACATGGCAGGTGTAAGCATTTAAGAGCTCGGCCTGGCAATGAATCTTGAGGAACCGCTGCCGTTATTGAACGGCAGAGAAGTGGAGAAAAAAAAAAAAAAACGTATGCAAATAAATGTCTGATGTTACAGGCATAATAAAAACCCATGTATGACTGAAACAACCACACACAGAGGAGAGAAAGTTTCTGGATTAGAATTACAAGGCGCGCTCGGTTTCTTGAATCTTGCACCAACAAGCCTGCATACCGGAGAATATATTTAAGTGAGAGAGTGAAAACATGTTTGTTCAAAAGGGGGGCGGATGTACACTAAAACTAGCGAGTCATTTCTCCAGAAACATTGCGAATGACTGGTTTTTGAAGACCGGATGTAACACCAATAAAGGATCTGCGTCTTTTTCTAAAGCGGTGGAAGAAAAAAAAAAACAAACCACATATTAAAAGTATTAAGATTTAAACAACAAATCTGCTAATGATTTAGAACTATTTGCATTGAGCCAAAAACCAACATTTGATAACACTGTTGCCTTGAGGCCAGTGACGTCTACTGGCTACATGAGGGTGCTGATGGCTTGTAAGCTGTCGGATCTCCTCTTGATGATCTAACTGCTGGCAGGAACGGGCTGGAATATCCAAGCCTGTTCCAAGTTCCAACATAACGTAAAAAAAATTTAGCATGTTGAGCCTTCAAACCAAAAGTAACACTGGTTGAACATGCTCTTACAAAATCAAATCAATCGTAATAAGCCCACAATTTTCCTCATTAGCCTCTGTTGTTTCTTGACCACTAAGATCCATGTTAGGTATGGGCAAAAACTTTAGAACATGCTTCACTTGAAATCCTTTGTGGGAACTTCACAGAACTCCCTCTGGAACCAGAAGGGGCCTTTGTGTAAGCAGCAGTTCTCCCTGAAACATGTAAACACACTTTGATGTGAAAAAGAAAAAAAAAATCAGTGGAGTTTCCCCTCAGAGTTGCTGCTTCAACCTCAGTGATTATTTCACTGCAAGCTAAACGCTTCAGAAGCAAAAAAAAAAAAAAAGAAACTAAAAGCAGCTAAGTAGAGACTACATGTGGGGTGCCGTGTCATTTTCTGCCCCAAACACAGATGTCTGAGCTACAGATCTGGAGCAAAGCAGAACAACTGATAAACATTAAAACTACAACTTTCAACCCCAGAAATCCATCTGGTTGGGGGTTCCAACTGGACAGGATGAGTCTGTGAATGCACCGCCTCTTACGAGCCGCGGCGCATTGAAAGGCCTTCTGCTGCAGATAGGGGCTGCTTGGGGGCTTAATTACAGAGCTCCTATGTGGGAAGGGCAACCGTGAGACTGACACACACACACATACACACACACACACACACACACAAATAGTAAGTGTGAGGGCAAGCCATCCACATGGACTCACTTGTAAACAGCTTATTGCCACGTCAGAAAAACAAAAAAACAAAAAAAAAAACACCTTCAAAAACAAAACTACAGAGAAATACTTTATCAGCAGATTGGGAGACGGACGGAAATTAGATCTCCTTTGTTACATGGAGTAGGACAGTGACCTTTGACTGTTCTTGTGTGTTGGTGTCAGACAAACTTGGCAGTCTGGATAAAACAACAATAAAGGCAGCAGCTGCTGACACCCCACCTCTCCTGTCAGCCTGTCTGCCTGTCTCTGTTTCCTGCGTCACTGAAATCTTTTCCAAAACTCTGGAATGAGAGAATCCGCTTCAGCTCCACAAGCCAAATGGATGCCAGCCAGAAGTTTGATTGGCCTCTCGTCTGTTCTTACCGTTTATCTCACAGGTTTTTCAGCATAACTCTTCATAGTTCCTACATTAATCCTGTTCGCTTAAACTTTTTCGTCCTAATTCGTTCACCTTGGAAAAACTATTCATACCCCTTAAACTTTTCCACACCGCAACAAATATGATGCATTTTCCAGACCAGTCAATGATCGATTGATTACATCCCAGCTGCAAACCTACCAATACATTTCAATCCACTTTATACCTAGTTCACATGGTAAGATTTTTATACCGGTTTAGTTCAGATTTTCCCATTGCAACAATCTTAAGGAACCCAATAATTGGGATGGTTCTTAAGATCATCTTAATAGATATTCCTACAGTGAGTAATCTGGCCCGCTTGGCAGGACGTCAGGACCGTTTCGATCCAAAATCGGGGATGTTCAACAGGTCGGATTGTCTTGGCTTGACGTGATCCCCAAGGACAACCAAGATCGCAGCCTAGTGAATTTGACGTTTAGCCAATCAGAAAGTGAGGTGACGGAAACACGGAGGGAAATTTAAAATCAACAGAAGATAAAACAAAAACAACTGCTGTTGCGGAACAGAAAGTCTGGGGGACATTGGAAGCATCTTTGTACCGTTTTTTTTTTTGTTTTTGTTTTTTTAGCTAGACCCAGTCCGCCATCTTTGTTTACTCTGGGCAAGGAGAGTCTTAATGAGAGGATCAACCAAGAGGTCCATGGAAACTGGAGGAGCTACATGGATCCAATGCTTAGGGAGAAGAATTTGCCAACGGGACAACTATTGCCACAAATTTAACCTCAACAGAGTGTCAGTAAATAAATCTGATGTTTGTAGCAAGCCGTACAGGTTCACAGCAAACATGGAAGTAGGCGCTCTTGTCAGATTAAATCCAAAATGTCATCCATCATTTAGCCCTCCAGTTTTCAGTTATGCAATACTCTGTGATGCTGTGGCACAAAAAACTTGAGCAATACATTGACATTCGAATGAGACAAAATGTTAAAGTCCACGGGGTATAAATACTTTTTAAGATAGCACATGTAATCTGGCTTGCAGATCCTCTGCCTTTTCTTTGTTTTAGCAGAGATTTGCTGTCTTTTCTCATAAGTAAGAAGGTCCGTAAACACTCATAAAACCAGCCATTTCTCTCCACTGCCCTGATTTACAGCCATCTTCCTGCTCCTCCTCCTCCTCCTCCTCTCTCCCCCCGTGCTCATGAGAAAAGCCCATCTGTTTCAAAAGCGACAGACAAGGCAAGCGAACTGCAGCACACAGATGTTAGACTGTAACGAATAAATAAATTGATGCATGATAACATAATGGCAAATGACAGAATAGAGCATCCACATTGGTGCGTGTTCAACTTTTTGATCAAGATAAAGTGTATGCCAGTAGCACAATGTGTGGAATTTATTTCCAGAACCTTTGACAAGGACGGTTATTGATGTGGTCACTCTTCAATTACGATGCCACATGACAGCAAAAGAAAAATACAATTGTGTGCAGCCGAGCTGTGAAATGTCTCACAGCTCAACTCTTTACCAAAGCTGAAATTCAGCTAATTCAGCTACTTGACACAAACTTTTTGCATTAATAGGAATTGATTTCAAGTCCTTTGGTTTTAATGTAAAGCAGTAAATGGCTTAGAGTCTGCATTGCAGATTTATTTTATGAGCCTTTCTGTTAATTTAAATCTACATGGGCAGATCTTTAAGTAACCAGAGGCAGAAAAATGTGTTTTCACA